CCACCAACTTCAAGTAAAACAGAGTCAGCACTTTAGAAGGAAATGGGCAGAAGTAGTGGATTCTTTGGGAGAACTTTCTGGGTTCATACCAGGAGTGATATTTGACAGCCTCAGAGCACATACTTTGAGGAAAACACTGGTGCAAAATAAACGAGCGGGTGCTAAGCAGCGTCATTTAGCAGCTAGCAGAGTGGGCTCTCTCTGCAGCAACTTCAAGGGAAGGAGACCAATCCGAAAATGCCTCTAGAAGGCTTTGTTTGAAAATGCAGCATCGTGGAAGAGCCATTTCAGCAGATGGTTCCTGTCTCTTTCCTCACAGTATTATGCTAAAACAACTTTAGTGACTCTAAACCACATTGTTAGCACTTATAAACCCTCTCCCCCAAAGCAGAGAATACTTCTCTCTTTCTCTTTGGCACAGTGTCTAGTGGTCTGTAATTTTTCCCCTTCCTGGGAACAAGGTAATAAATAACTAGAACTACTTTCAGATGGTCCTACCACATGGGGGGAAAGGTAGCAAGAGAACAAATACAGATTTGTTTTTATGCTATAGTACTTTCTTGGCTGCAGAAAAAGGACTCTCCTTTCTTGCCTTTCATGGACTTCAGATGATAATGCAAAAAATTACAGGATGGTGGGTGGGAGGCAAAGGTGAGAGGGGTTTTCATGTGAGACCACGACTTCAGTCTGCCAGCAGGAGTCCCTAGTTCCACCAGCTCCCTGTATCTGATCAGCGTAATTTATTGTCTAGCAATCTTGTTGCCTGATCCCTCACCCCTGAACTTGTGAGGCTAAGCCGACAACTTTCTCCTGAGTTTCTCTGCCATTGTCACCTCAGTAATAACACTATTCTAAATAACAAACTTAGCACATAGTTATCTCAGTGCATCCTTATGAGGAAATACTGAAATAGCACCTCCCTCCTTTATTAAATTTAAAAGGAGGAAAACTAAAAAGAGAAACTAATTGGAAAACCTGGGCAAAGTAAATATTTATATTAGCAAATTTTAAAATTGAGTACTAAAAAAGATTCAGAAAGAGAGAAAATGTTCAAGCTAAGGCCATCATTACTGATTACTGTGAAATTTCCAGGCCATATACATGGTCATAATTAGATGTGATTGGCAGGGACTGGATGGGGTTGATATACATAAAAGGTGGTTAAGAAGAAATCTGCAACGCAGTAGAAGAAATTCTAAGACACGGAGGCCGTTAAAAACATACAAGTAAAAGCAAAACTATGGAGAGAGTATTAAAAAGATTAGGGGGGTGAGGGCGTTGGCAGAGCGAATGCACAGGAGGAGGCCAGGGGATTTTTAGGGCAGTGAAACTATCCTGTATGATACTGTAATAGTAGATACATGTCATTACACATTTGTCAAAACCCATAAATGTGCACCACCAAGAATGAACCCTAATGTAAACTATGGTCTTTAGTTAATAATTATGTGTCAATATTGGCTCATCACTTGTAAGAAATGCACTACACCTAGCAAAAGATGGTAATAATAGAGGAAATGGTTTGTGGGGGGAGGGGGTATAAGAGATTTCTCTACTTTCTGTTAACCTAAAAAACCTATAAATCTAAAAAAGTGCTCTAAAAAAAAGCCTATAATTAAAATCAAAATCATACCTAAGAACAAATCCAGGAAAACAAAATTTAATTAAGTGCTTTACATGTTTTGGCTTACATAAAAATAGTTTTAACCTTTTTTTAAAATGTACAAATTAAGAAGCTAAAAGTTTATCAACTCAACCAGAACTGATTATTCAATAAAAGCACATACTCCTTGGATTTTACTTAGTTCTATAATGCAGTTACAGGAGCAGTCATGACAAAAATGTCTGCAGTCAGCTAGCTGAATACAGCAAAGTAAAGAGAGCAAGTTGCTTAACTAACCTCTTTGAGCATCAGTCTCCTCCATCTGTAAAAAGGGACTCTAACACCAACCACAGGATGATTGAGTGAGATAACGTTTACAAAGTGCCTAGCATAATGCTTGGCATATGGGTTATGTTTGATAATTGCTAGCTACTATAATTTCTCATATTAGTATTCTATCATACTCATAACAGGGCTAATATCATGTGTTTAATCAACTTAAGTGCCAGTTAACCTATTTCTATTTCAAGAATACAGAATGCACTCCAACACCATACATCTGCAAAAGGTGTCCACTGCCAGTCTAAATGGATGCTCAGCTCTTCCCACATGGGGACATGAGGAAGAGGACCAGAACACCATAAGGAATGGGTAAGGATTTCAACTCCATCACGTGGCTTCAGTGTAAAGTCCTCCAGAAAGGTGTGTAGCAGAGGAACCCTGAGCTGGGGGTCCTTATCCCATCAGTCAAGGCAATCTTGTGAAACATGCCCTGACAACCTAGATTAAAGATCCGCAGGAAAGAGGGGTCTCTGGATTACAGTCAGAACACCATAAGGAATGGGTAAGGATTTCAACTCCATCACGTGGCTTCAGTGTAAAGTCCTCCAGAAAGGTGTGTAGCTGAGGAACCCTGAGCTGGGGGTCCTTATCCCATCAGTCAAGGCAATCTTTTGAAACATGCCCTGACAACCTAGATTAAAGATCCGCAGGAAAGAGGGGTCTCTGGATTACAGTTGACCAGTTTGGCCTGAAGCCATGATTTAGCTGACACAGCCCAGTCCCACTCCTGCCAAACAGTTTCAGTCAGCACAAGGCCATGTGTGAGTGAGTCCTAGAGCGATTACACAGCAGTGTGGAGAATCGAAAAGAATTCAGGAGTCAAAGGACATTCATGATGCCAGGCACTGGGCACACAACACCCATAAGTGGGGACAGGAAACAAATCCAGGTCCCTCTGCAAATTCAATCCCTGGTCCAGCCATACCCTCTGGCAGTCTTGAAGGGAGGTTTAGAATTCTTTGGTAACCATGCCATCTTAACTGAATGCAGGTCTAATCAACCTTGGAACTGATAAGCTTTGGGATATAAGACCTTAAAGGGAAATACAGGAAGTGGAAGAAGGAGATACTGGGGATGGTTCTGAGCAGGGTGGCCCTTCTGGACACTGATGGTAGTGAAGACTAAACATAAGCATGACAGTGGCCAGGGTAGAATAAAATGGTATAGTGCTCCAATCTTAAAGTTAAAAGGATTTTCTTTTCACTTTTTAAGTCTGTGTTTAGATCCCAGTCAGGGCTCAATGAATGAATCTCTCTGTAATTCTACTGTGTCAGGTATACTCTCATATATATTCTCTGTATTATATTATTATTAAAATTACAAGAAAATGTAGGATATTTGTCATTTTTAAAGTTTTAAAAAGTAAAAAAAAATACACATGCATTGTTGTCTATGGCAAGTAACTGGCTAATCAGCTGTGTTATAACTAGTGTGGCATATACCCTCCAGGTTAACAAAGCAGTCTAGTCTCTACTTCACTGGTTGGTACTTTAAGCACTCTTCAGTTATATGGCAGCCACTTCTCCATTTCAAGTCACATCCTGCTGCTCCTAATGCCTCATTCCTTAGGGTTCTGACTCTCCTAAACTGGAACACATCTCAGCCACTCTTCAGTTATATGGCAGCCACTTCTCCATTTCAAGTCACAACTTGCTGCTCCTAATGCCTCATTCCTTAGGGTTCTGACTCTCCTAAACTGGAACACATCTCAGCATCAATCTCGGAGTCTCTGACTCCCAGAATTCTAACACTCATGTTACCTTCCCACTATTTTTCCTGTCGAGTCTCACACTGTAGATTTTCTCAAGTTCCCTTGGGCCGGTCTAAGAGTATGGATTCTAGTATTACAGAAACTTCACCCACTGTTTGACTTTGAGTAAATGACTTAAATAGATCCTCAATGTAACTCAACTGTAAAAATGGGGGTAATTTCTTATCTGATAAGTTTATTACAAAGTTTAATTTATGTAATATATATGAAGGCCTTGCAAAGTGCTTTGCAGATAGTAAATGCTCAATAGTCATTAGACTCTCTCCTGCCCCCAAACTGTACACTACTTTATGGACTCGTAAGACTGTCACAGCCTATGAATGGCTGAAATAAGAACAGACGGAATCCAGGCTTGTGAGGTCAGGATAACCTGACTTGATAGGCCTGACATCTTGTCATGAGATGGACTGGCTTACTCTGTGCATCTTGTAAGCCTATAGCACAGTGAATAGGGAGTATAAACTTGAAATGAAAACATTTATTTTTATTCTACCTCATTCCATAAAGGGCTTGATACCACTTGAAACTAATTTTAACAATGTAAGTTTTATCTACAAGTGGTATTTTTAGTAAAAGGGTTAAAAAATAAAATTTTAATATTTGGTATTTATTTTTCCTTCTTTTTATTGGGACCTAAAACATCACAGTCATTGTAGGTATGCTTTTAAATAAAAACGAAGAGATGTTCTTGAAGGAAGGCAACTGTGTGTGTGTGCATGCATGCGTGTGTGTTGTGTGTCTATGAGTGAGAGAGTAAGAGAGAGAGAAAGAGAGAGAATTCTATATCTTCTTGGACTTTCTGGACTATGTCATAGCAAAAATGCAATGAGTGGGCCTTTGATCAAGAGAACAAGGCAGTGACAGGAACTCTTCATTCACTGTTGTTAGTGATTATTGACAAGCTGGTAATGATCATGCTGCACTGTGTCACCCATACTGAGGGCATTAGCATTGTTTAAAGGTCAAAAACAGTCTTTTAAAATGCAGAATTTCTTAGAAATCGGGGAAGCCTCAGAGTTTTTTTTAACCAAGTTCACACTATAAACCAGGGAATATGTGAGACACTCAGGATTTCATTCCTTCCCCTATGCCTTGTATTAAAATGATTATTTAATTTTTTGTGATTTAAATTCTTGGCTGTCAAATTGTGTGGCAAAATTCTTCCACTGGGTGAATGAAAAGGGGATTTTTAAAGCCTTTTATGTGTCTCTAGGAGGCCTGGGCAGAAAGTAAGCACAAAGGCGAGGTGATATCTACACCAAATCAAAGCAAAATTATACTTACTCTGTGACACTCTGACTAGCTCAGTCACACTAAAAACACCTGATGTGACAAAACTGTCCTGGAAGCCCAAATGTCCTGGGGAACAAAAACAAAAGAAAACAAAGTGTCATAAGTAGAAGACATTTGACAACAGAACTCTAAATACTAGTTTCATTATGATTGAAAAATGTGATGCCTAATCTCATACTCCGCTCTAGTTAGAGTTTATGTGGGAGTGCACAGTCATTTAGTTATGGAGACAGTTCTTTGGTTTGCATCTGGAGGTTGTAGAAAACTATGACACAACAACTGGGTGATTTTTGAAATGGTTAAAAAAAATTCAACGGAAATCTGAAACAAAAGACAATTTAAAATAAATGGTTACCCTGCGTGACCTCTGAGACCTTAACAATTGGGATGAAAACAGCATACCTAAGAATCAGCCAGGATAGCTAAATTCCCTAATAGTTTTTAAACATTATTCACTAAAGAAACATCTGACTGGGATTAGTTATTCATTCATTTAAATCAAACAAGATTTAGAGATGTTCCCTTCATTTCTGGAGGTACCACAGGGTAAATTTTTAAAAAGCTAGAATAGAAAAAGCAAGCCCCAGACCATGAAACATAAAAACAAATTCTTTTGAGCACAAAGAAAAACTTAGATTTATTTGGAGAACAAGAGTTTCTTGTGATTTTTTTTTAACAAAGATAATAAATCAATGGTTCAAAAATTGTTTAATCTCTGAATTTTGTGTCTGCTTCATTTTTGCTGGATATAATTAGTTTCCTTTAAGATATCTGATATTACATCTATAACCAATTTACTCATTTAGTTTTATGGGATATTCAGAAACATAAAACTTGCAAATGGCAAGGAATACATAATCTATGACATGTAGTTTCCCTTTCTGCCTCTAAAATTTTGATTCTATGAGTTTCACATAGGCAGATTCTAGTTGAGAGATCTGTCTGTAAGGTCAGCTTAATCTATACCTGGTTTAAAATTTGGGTCAGAAGAGAAGCTGTTGGCTGAAGGGATTTCAAAATAATTGTCTTTGAAATAAGAAACATACCTTCAAGAAATGCAACATAAGAAAACAGACCAATCTGAATAAATAAAAATATGTCAGTAAAATTTGTTACTGGTAAAAGTTAGATGTTGCACACTACTTAGGGGAAGAAAGTTTACCTATGGCACAGTATATACATCAATAAATTTATTAAATGTCATGCATATAAACGCACGCAAAAATATACCGTATTTTGGAGGATTGCAAATGGACCTATAAATCCTCCTTCTTTTGGTTACATTGGATTTTTGCATAAGAAAAATTTTTACTGAGATTTAAAAGAAAATTTTAAGTTAACTTTTATATCAAACACACAATATATGGTATTTTAGATAAAACAGTTCTAATTTTTAGGATTTGCAATCATCATAAACTGCTTTTAAAAATAAATGGCAAAATTTTACTTTAAACATGCTTAAGAAATTTCACCTCCCAAAGCAACCCACACCCAGGTATTCAGTGGGCTTTTATCCGGTAAGCACCTGAGGTGCTGTCTGTTACATTAAGAAAGCTGAGAAGTTAAAAAATTAATAAATAAGTAAACATTCTCTAATGAGGTCTTGGCAAAACAGACCATAACATCTCTTTCTTATTGGAGCACCATTAATGTCACTTTTATCCCACAGATCTTAACAAAGGAAATCCAACCACAATATACATTAAGGTTGACTTAAAACACATAGAACAATAACAAGGAAATTCATAGCTGACTAGGAAAATCTGGGTTGATCTCCTGCTCTTGCTCATCTCTATCCTCATCACTTGACTTGCGGGCTGATACTTGTTTCAGTTCCAATCTTTCAAATTCCTTATTTTAAGGATAAACTAACATGAATTTCTGTATGGAGTGAAAATAAACACATGCACTTTAATCCTGCCACCAAAAAAGCAAGCAATATATTTTAAAGATTCAGTTGAGTCTGGCTCAAGGACTTGAAGGTGGGGGCCTGCATTCATCCATTCAAACTATCACTTTCCTGGTTGCCCCTTTTCTTTTGTCCACCTCTTAAATGTTGCTATTCTCCAGGGACTGTGCTCATCTGTCCTTGTATACATATTTATATGTGCATATGTGTGTGTGTGTGTGTATTTCTTAAATTATTGTGTCTACTTCCATGATATCAGGTACCAGTCTAGATTGTGATATCTGTGAAAACTAGAATAATGCTTGCTCTGCTCACCACTGTATCCTTAATGCCTGAGACAAAGCAGTTAGTAAGTGAATATGTGTTAAATGAATATATGAATAAATCCATAGGCCAATCACTCTCGAATCTTTATCTTTTGCCAAGATCTCTCTCCTGCATTCCAAACCTATAAACTTAAATATCTGTTGGATATTCCATCCAGGTAACCCACAGGTAACCTCAGACCCATCATGTCCAAAGCTGAACTCATTTTCTTCTCCCCCAAAAGCCTGTTCTTACTCTTTTGAATTCCCTATTTCAATGAACCATACACCATTCATCTAATTTTCTGTGTTTTGGTGACATCGCTGACTCCTATCTTTTGTAATCACCCACATCCAACTAATCCGAATTGACTCGGTTTCCTTACTATTTCTTGAATCTATGTATGCTTCCACCTCCCCACTATGACCATGGCTCAGGATCTTCCCACTTCTCAACAGCATGATGGGAAAGCCTCCTGTGTTCCCTATCATCAGTCTTGGCTTCCTCTCCAATCCACTCTCCACTCTGCAGCCAGAGCTGTCTCACTAACCAGCAGACCAGATGATTCATTCATTTATTCAACAAACGTTTATTGGGCTGGCCCGGTGGCGCACTGCTACAGTGTGCCACTTGAGAGCGCAGCGGCGCTCCTGCCGAGGGTTCGGATCCCACATACAGACCGGTTCCCGCTCACTGGCTGAGCAAGGCGCGGGAGCAGCGCCGAGGGTTGCGATCCCGTTGCCGGTCCTGGTCCGGTACGGGGGCGACACTGAGGGTTGCGATCCGTTGCCGGACACGGAAAAAGACAAAAAAAAAAAAAAACGTTTATTGAGCACCTATCATGTGCCAAGCATTGCGCTAGGGGCTCAAGATACAGTTTCTACCTACTTCAGGGAGTTTACAGTTTAGAAGCAGAGACAGCTGAAAACATGTATAATAAAAAAATTATTTAAAAAATTATAAATCGTATAATGATATGAAAGAAACAAATAGTAAAAGCTTTAGAAAGGGTGGTCAGGGAAGGTCTCTCTTAAGAGCTGACTTTGGAAAGATATTAAGGAGCTGGCCAGGAAGAAAAAGGGGAGAGCTCTACTGGCAGAGGGATTAACATGTACAAAGGCCCTGAGGTAGGAAAGAACAAGGGTATTAGAGAAACTGAGATAAATCCAATGTACTTAGAGCTCACTGCCCTATCAGAAATCTTGTAAGAGACCCACAGAGCATTCAGGGCACAGTACAAACTCTTTTGCACTGCAAATGACCTCGAAATAGCCTCTGTTCTTTTCTCCAGGTTCATCTTTTATCTCGCCTTCCGATTCTGGCCCTACCCCTTCACCTAAGGGAACTACATGCACCTTCCTGGACCTGGTTCATCCCCTCCCCTGATACTACTCATTCTTCCTAAAATGTCTGTCCGTCCTACTCTTTGCTTGGTCACCTACTAACCATCCTTTAGGACTCAGCTTTGTTGTCACCTCTATCAAAAGTCTTCTGTTGCTCCCATCTCTGGGGAAAACTCCTTTTTCCTTTTCTCAGTACTGCCCAGGTACACTATATGCCCCTATAGCCTAGGATTTAGCATACTGAATTGTAATTTTGCCTTTTTCTCCTATTAGACTGTGAGCCCTTTGAGGGGGGAGAGTATCTTCTGTGTCTTTTGTATTAGGACCTTCAGGTCCTAATACAGGGCCTGGCAGGAAGTAAGCACTCCAGAGATGCCTCTGAATAAACAAAACTCAGATCGGGCTCACCCAGATTTATTTTCCCTTTTCATAAAAAATTGGAGAGAATTTATTTCCGTCTTTCTTAAATTTCTAGAAATATAGTTTGAACTAAAATTGAGCCTGCCTTCACTGGAACACTATTAAAATGACCCATCCAAATATTCTCTCCAAACTAAATAGGATCAGGACAGGACAGACAATGAAGCTTCTGGTCAAGAAGGTGCCATCAGTTTCTCTGAAGAGAAATGCCTGAGATTGTCCTATAGTCATTAGCAATTTGGGTGCTTCAAAAAGTTCATGGAAAGATTCATACTATCTTTTAATTCTATTTTTCACAAACTTTTGGAAGTATATTTGCATTTTGGGAGATCAAGGAAAAATAGAGTACAAAGGCAGCATTATTGCCCATAATGGACATAAGGGACCAAAAATGGGACCTAGTTCCAAGCTTAAACTAAGATCTTCTGTAACCCTGAGAAAGTCATTGCAAAAATAACAATTTCATTCTCCTTCTGCCACCACCAACCTACCACCCAAGGCTAATCTTAGTAGAAGGTGTGTATGTTAGAAGGTAAAGTTTATGTGAATGTACGATAATCAGAAAAACAAAGAGTATAATTATTTCACAAGTCCTGATGTAACCATCTCTTTCTTCCTAGTACTATCAGATTATCAGATAGTCTTGGGGGGTTTATGTTCATTATGTATCCCTGAGGACAGGTCTGTATATACACTCCAGGAAACTATGAATGGCTATGAAACTGGTTTTGTGCCTTCACCTATTATTTGGAAACCCACTCATGAACTCTATAAGAAGACAGAAATGAGAAATGAAACCTAAGAAATGATGGAAGAAGTGATATTGCTAACATAATTACTAAGCGATCCTGAGTGGATTAATGTTTCATTCTCACTAACACAAACCAAATCATAAAAATGACTTTCAGGGAAATTACACTAATCTGATTGTTCTACTTTACCGCAAAATGAGAGAAAAGTGGAGAAAAAATAAAAAGGTAAATTTAAGCAATTCCAAATTCAGATGTTATTAGCATTAATAGATCCTCAGTTGGAAAGCTGATTAAATATTCCTGAAAGGTCTCAAGATTTACATTTTTGAATGGGGC